GTAGTATAAAACAGTTTTTTGATATATACATTATTCTCTATGTAATGGACATTTGATATAACAAATTTGGATTTGACACTGTTAATATAAATCCTGCACATTGTAACGGATTTATAAAGACTCGGTATAATGAATTTTGAAACTATTTCTTTATTATTACAAGTCTATCCATTATATTGAGAATAAACGTGCACTAATACTGCTATATAATTTTATTAATTAAATACCTTCATTAAAATTTGCGCATTCTTAGCTTCTACAAGATGAGGTGGCAACGTTGCAGTTAGAATTAGGGAAAATTGATGAACGTATGAAAGACTTGGAAAAAGAAAATGGGCAACTTTTGCAACGATGGCTAAAAAAAATGAATGAGGAAGCAGAAAGAATGAACGAAGCAAATATGTTTTATGAAAGGTAAAATATTTTTTATTTTTTATTTTTTATTTTATTTTATTTTTTTTTTTAAAAAAAATTCAAAATTAAATCTGTTTAAATTAATTTGTAGTGCATTAGAAGTTCATGCCAAAGCGTTAGAATTTCAAAGCGGAGTTGTTATTGTTGACAAAGAATTCACTCCGAAACCTATCACGCACACTGAATCTGGTATCGGGTCAACAAGGTATTGTTATTATTATTTCATGCTTCATCAAACTTTAACTGTTAATGAACCTGATTTCTTTATTTAAAGAACGAGAAGTAGATCATCTGCAGGTCCTGTAATAATACCCTTAGCTGTGGCTAAGAAATTGGTATGTTTTGGAGATAATTTTATTTTTTTTTTATTTAATGTCACGGATTTATCGTGAAATTGGATCATCGTGAAATTTGGATCTATTTTATGTACGATTTTTAAATCTTTTGGGGCCTTTTTTGTCGGTTTTTTTTTTATAATTAAGTTAGGATTTAGGGTTAGAATTATTACCAAAAGAGCATAGGTAGGGTTTATATTTCCAAATTGAGACCCCTAAATTTCACGATAATCCGATTTCATGATAATCCGCGACATTTAATATTTGCTATTCATCTTAATTTTAACTAAAACAATAAGGTCCCTCATGATGGTGAAATACATACGATTCAATCATCTGCTGATGGAACTATGTTTGCCACGGGTAGTGCAGATAAGACTATCAAGATATTTGATGCCACGACAGGTTGAATAAAGCTTAAATTCTTTGCTTTAAAAAATATCTTAAAGGAATCGTCTTAATTTTTTTATTTTGAACTTTTAGGACAAACAAAACAATCATTATCGGGTTCAATACAATCCATCATGCACGTATCTTTTAACAGTACTAGTGAGATGATTGCTGGAGCATCAAATGATAACGCAGCCAGATTATGGCACTTAAAAACGGGTCGGATAAGAGTATGTCAGTTTATTTCACATATATTCCATCTAAAAAATGCACTTATATTACGCATATAAATATGTAAAAAAAATTTATCGTTTATTTCTGAAACAACATTTAGCTTACATTAACAGGTCATGTAGGAAAAGTTTATTCTTCTCGATTCAACGGTGATTCCTCCAAAGTGGTATGAGAGTAATTCATCTAAAAATAAAAATCATTTGATTTTGACTGTCCGATATATCTGACTTTAATTTATTTGTTTATTACTTTAATAGATTACTGGAAGT